CGAATCCGCGAATTAATTGTAATTGCTAATTTCGACGATGTAAGCGAGTATGTTCCAGCGGTTTGAAAACGTAAGAGTCAAATGGCTAATAAATAATGACGACACGCGTAAACAACAAAAGGTTATTTGGAAAGATCGAGAAAGTTGTAGAAAGATCGAGGAGAGCAATAAGCGAGTATTGCACGAAAAAACGAGATTCATTCGGCTGTGAGTCCTTGCTGTAACAAGACCTGTACATTTTGAGTGTAAGAAAATAAAGCATTTCTGTTTTCGAATTTATCTGCGTGGTGGTTTAGCCCGGTAATTCACCACGTCTATCCTCTCACATTATTAATATCAGGGAGTCAGTAAATCTCCCAAACAGCTATGTAAAAAACATATTGGCATGTAGTTTATGTTTCGCAGTCTCAGATTTATATATACTGATTTCATGAGATTTTATGGCGATTCCGCATGATTTCATCACAAATTTTGGTAATTACACCTGATTGCAAAATTATAACATAGAGATTTCATAGTGATTTTGGGGACACTGTCCCACGATTACATTAAGTGGTTACCCCCTTGGAATGTGAATTATGACGAACAATGACAATTTCATAATGTGAATACTTACTCATAATGCCCGTATCAGACTGGAGATTGAGATTGAGGTTACTTAATCAAAAGAAAGAAAACCAATATCAAATTTAGTAACTTTGTTTTGATTAGTCAAGTTCAATCTTAAGCTCATTCTCTGATAATGCGCGAATGCAGATTACAACATCTCGATAATGTTATCACGATAAGTTAAACCTGTAGATATATTAATAAAAAAGTATTAAGGCTGAATATATAAATGTGTGTAATACAAGTTAATACACTGAGAGAAATGTTTTGTACCAATAATCAAAGTTTTGTTACTGACACAAAAACTATTTGTTGAAATATGATCAATCAAACCGTTGGTTACGACGACAATATTAATTTGTTAAATTTATTAACTAAACAGATCATTTAATGGTACAAAACTGTTTTGTATGATGTTTTAGATCTTTTGTAATTAGAAATAGAACATTTTGTTACCGGAACAAAATGAATAATATATAAGTATCTCTCACTTTCTACAGAGTGATTATGGTTGGCGTTTTTGAATTTCCTTAGCTTAGCAAAAATATATATAGATTTAGAGCAATTGAGATTACTAATCGCTCTGAAAAAATAGTTACCATGATTGATCATGATGTGGCGAGAACCGAGAAGTCCACGAGATTAGTCTCTAATCGTCTCGGCTTTATAGAGGTAGACGTTGAATTTCTCTTACGAGAAGACACGCCATCTCTGATAGCTCCGCAAAACACTCCTTGCTCCACCATAGTGGATTATTTTGTTGAAATTACTAAAAGAATACTTATTTTGTAATGGCAACCAAATTTTACATTGGTATTTACAAAACGTGAGTAACCGAATAAATTTGTTAAATAAAAAAATTTTGTTCATCTTACAAAAAAATATTGTATTTTGTAATTTTAACAAAGTAATCCAATGATAATCGGCCATTTGTGAATTTTCTTTTTTTTGTTATCAATACTATATCTTTTCTCTCAGTGTACGAACGAATCACGCAGCATGTTCGAAAATTCTATCGTGTATGAGATTACTGGTGGGAGAATTGATCGGTGCTCTTCGGTAACTGACCTGTGATCCGACATTTTGGACATATATCGGATATCGATGCATAGAATTGTAACTGCAGCGCTCTTAGCACTCTGCTTTTCGTATGGATATATCAGGCGTTTGGCCGTAAAACTCGAATCGGCGTAGCTAATTCTTTATTGCGACCGACGTGCGCTTTCGCGAGACTGAGTTTCGACTCGAGATTCTCTGATCAGGTTGTTTACTTTATTCTTGTTTTGTTCGATCAATGAACAGCAGGCTTTTGTATCAGATAAAAATTTGGCGCCTTTTTTTCACCTAAGTATTTTTTTCGAATCATTTATCAAACTAGAGATTTTTACAGTATCTAATATTAACGTGCCAATTTTCACCGTCATTTTTATATATACATATGTATGTATAACTATATTATATTTCTATATTCTTATTTATATAGCTATATTATATTATATATACATAGATATGTAGAGGAAAGCCCCCTATTATGAGATAGGTGCCTAATATGAGATAACGGCGTTTCTGCTGAACTAATAAACGCTATCTATATTCCATCATGAATTTATTGCTTTTGGATTGAAAATTATTTAGTAGAAAATTCATTATTAGATCATGCCTGTAGTAAATGTAAAACAAGATTTTAGAATTTGAATGTCTTCAAGTTTTATTGAGATGAGCCTTTAAACCTTGTTTATTATTTAATAAATAAATATTTGGCAATAAATTCTTCATGTAGCGATAAAGTAAGGTCGTACTAATAGAAAAATACGTAATATGTTGAATTGTTTAATTACAGAAGTTAGATTTGATGATCGTAAAATCATAAGGTGTGGAAATCGTAATATGAGATACCCAGAGTATTTCTAATATGAAATAACCCATGCTCCTATGTTATAGTGAAAATCGTTGCTAAAGTATAAATATTATTGTACAATAATAAAAAAGATAATCGGAATGAACGTCGAGTGCCTATTTCTGCGATGCTTGATTCCAACCACATGAAGACGAGTTCCAAGTATAATCTATCGCATGCTCACTTTTCGCGCGCACTGACTGTGTTTGTTTGTATTTTAGAAACATTAAAAAAATGTTTTTTAATTGCAATACTGATATACTTTGCGTTTTACTATCGATTTCTCGGGGCATCTCATATTAGGAGCACAATTTTTTGACTTTGCGATTTGCTCACTTTTTACATTCCTTTAATTTTCAAAAAAAATGGAATTTGAATTAAATTTTATATAACGTTATCTTAAAGCTTATTAAATTCCCTTCAAAATGACCTATTATTTTTTAAAATTCTCCCTATAGATTTCTAGCATTTACCCAAAATGTACTCGGTATCTCATAATAGGCTTTTCCTCTATATATTAGATATTAGATTAGCAAAACAAAAAAATTTTTTTTTTAATCGGCTTCTGAACTCAAAGGCTCCTACCTGATGCCAAAAAAACATCCCCAAATTTTTATTTAAAAATATTAAGATTTAGGTCGCTAGAGTAAACGATTTTTAAATCATTAAAATCTTTGATTTTTAAATAAAAATTTCAATTTTCCTTAATGCATGTTTGATTTGATGCAAAAATGGCTTAATCCGGATTTTAAATGTGGTACTGTATGTTTTTTTAGTCGCTGAACACAATGTAATAATTAATTTAGCTCTACGATATACGCCTTAAGAAATATAGCCCTATTAACGTGAAAAAAATGATTAAATTTTCAGTTAAAAGTCGATTTTAGTAACGTTTCAATCGTTCAAATGGGTCATTACTTCCCTCAAATTATAGGTCTGTTTACCCAGGAAAAAATCTAGTTGGAATTTTCCCGGGACCTCCTACAAGGCCTTTAAAAGTTTCATTTAAAATATAATAGTAATAAGGCTCAATAAATTAAAAAAATTGAGAGAAAAAGGGCTACGAGTCTAAGAGTTAGTACGTTAGAAATATAAATTTTAAAAAACACAGTATAAATATGTCATTTAGTCAGAATATAAAACTTTAATGTGCCGGCAATAAACAATATAACATAAACAACAAACGTTTCGA